ACGCCAAGTGTTGAACAGATTGTCGTAAAGGATGCCACCACTGGACTGTGGAGCAAAGGGAACAAGGTTAATGGAGCAGGTTAGGTTAAGTGAATGCCAAGAGAGTGTTTTTTGGTTGGGGTTCATTTGATAGCAGGCAGTCGTCTGGTAGGGTATAAAAAAACAACAACTTATTTTTACTAAAATGCATGCAAATACTTGAGTCTGAAATTGTTGGGGGAGTGGTGGGAAATTCACATTTTTCACCTTTGAACGTCTTTTCTAAAATTCAATGAACAACAACGTAATAATAAAAGCGTATGCTAATACAGAACCACATCTCAGCTGCCATGAGTTTATAATTCTAAACAGCAGAAACATGTTGGCATTTCAAAGCTGCATGTTTAGAATATTTCTGGACTTAAATTCCTTCTCTGTTGCTCTGCCATGATGTTCATATCAAGGCTAAATTCAGATTTTAAAATCTTGTCACCCATTGGCGCCCACAGTCTTTATCTGTACATACCAGGCGTGTTAAACTCATTTTGGTTCAGGGGCAACATGCAGAGAAGTCAAGCGGACCAGAACCAGTAAATCAAAACATGATTACCTATAAATAAGAAAAAGTCTGTCATTTCCCCCTTTGTTTTCATGCAAAAAAGTACCTCTGATATTTAGTCAAATATAAAATGGCCTGGTTTTGGCCCGGGCGCCGTATGTTTGACACCCCTGGTATTGACTGATGCAGCCTCATCACATTCCCTTTAAGTTACTTTGGGTGTTTTTTTTCTTCTTCTTTCACTTTTCTCTTCAGCACCATATTGATTCACTCTGGACTCACAGAACCAGTGGGCTGCATTTGGAACAGGACCGATGGTGTCTGGGTTTAAACAAAATCTTCCCATTAAAACTGTTACACCTACTCCACTTGGCCACATGTCCTTCTTCATGTCAAATTAAAGTGATGGAAATGGACTTGAGGGGATGCTAATTGCAATTGTCAATCCAGTCTGGGCCGGGGCTGAAAGACGGGGCTTCACAGCACTTCATCAGTCTTCATTAATAATGAAGGAGTTTGCTGAGGGAGAGAGTGGGTGGGGGAGGGGGGAGGGGGGGGGGGGGGGGGGGGTGGCCTTGTCAGAGGAAGTAAGTCCTAAGTAAATATTCTTTTCTTCACATCGACACAATCATTCACGCTGACATTCACACCAATGGTCAGTTAAGCTCGTAAACAATAAACAGGATTTTGAATGTTTCTGGACTGTGGGATGAAACCCGAGTGTCCAGAAAAAAAAAACAACACACAAGGAAAGAATCTGAAAGACCCTGAGTCATTGTCCTGCTTAGGTAAGGGCACTAACCACCCTCCCACTGTATGGACGCCTTCAAGAAAACCTTCTCTATTTAATAACTACTCATATAATTGAAAACCTGGGATGATAAAAAAAAAACTAAAGCTATTTATATATCTAAAAGAAACTAGAGACTTTTAATGTATCCCATAATTCTCATTTTTCTAATATATCTTACAGACCCCTGAAGGCAACATAATATTATTTGTTAGGCCAATTCAGGTGCCATTTATGAACCAGTAATCAGTCTTTTAGAGTCAGCCCAGCTGGAAGTTCGAAAGGCAGAGCGTGTTTAACTAAAACTCGTGAGAGAAGAAAATGGCCTTTATGATGGGTCTCAAATACACGACTCTGTTAATTAGACTAGTGTTTCACAGGTCGGTTTTCAAAGATTTGTTGTGAGCAAAAACAGAAACAAAAACGGAATGTCTGAATGAAATATCTATTTACCAAAAGTATAGAAAATCACAGTTTAATGTATTAATTTATAAGTTTCGATGTCGCCTTTTGTGAATTTCCCCGCCGTGGAACGATTCAAGGACTTATCATATCGTATTGTATCATTTCATATAATATCTCATTAAGCCCCAGTACTAATTATTATACAACAAGTAAAAAGATTAACACACAACACTGCAACAATACTCTAGTTAGACAATAAGAAAATCAGACCAGTTTCATGTAAGTAAAGAAAACATGTTTTTTTTTTCATCTTACAATAAGTGCTGGAAAATATTTACAGTTGTATCACGAACTGCTACCACTCTGATACTATGTCATATTTCATTTATTATTTAAGACTGTAATTCTGTCACTGAATCACTACAGAGACACATGCGGGGGTGAAGTGGTTGGGAAGGGACCCTAGTTTACTAATGGCTGCAAGGACAAGACAAACGATACGACCTGGCTGTTCCTGCGGAGGCCGCTAAAATGAGAGTGGAGGGCAAATTAAAATTTCATAATCACAGGCCTGTTTATAAGCACACAGGGAGGCAGAAGTGCCACGCCACTGTCCTCTGTGTTCCATTTACATTAATGAAGACGTCAGACGTAAATGTCCTGAAGAATACCTGTTGTTTACTCTGCTGGGTTTACATGTGTTCACAATGCAAATGAATGAATGTTTCCCTCCAACTCTCCTCCGTTTCATTTTGAACATTTATCACCATCGGTTGTGACCAATTTTTCTCCTTTACTTGCTGACTGAATTTATAGAGCTATTTCATGGTTGGCACTTTTTCTTTTTCCTTTGAACTAACTTTTTTTTTCTTTACAATACTTTATTTGATAAAGAGAGTCATAATTGTGTTCATCATCTACCAACAGGGACTATATCAGCTCACATTTATTAATAAAAAAAAGTTAAGACTAAAAAATAATTTGGTAACGTATTTGCAAAATCAAATTATATTCAATGGAACATTTTCAAAAAAAATTCTAGAAAATCTTCTTTCACCCACCCTTGGTAGAAGAAACCAGAAATCAATCATTTTTAATGTTTGCTCTCGTTTCCCAATCGCTTATTGCCAAACAATGTTTGCTCTCGTTTCCCAATCGCTTGCCAAAACTGATCAGTTACATCCTAACACAACCTGAACAATTGACAAAAATACACAATGATAAAACTTGTCAAAGCCGAAGTCGGAGACGCTCGAGAGACGTGACGAGCGTGTGAATTCAAGAGCTATTTCAACAATGATGGCAAAGGCTGACTTTTGTGCTGTTGTTTTGAATGTGAATATGTGAGTAAGGGATAAGACCCCGTACAGAAATGCAGTTATTAATCACTGTGTCAGCGCTGATTCATCGGTCGGGCAGGCAGTTTGGAAGATGGACTCTATTTACTGCCGAAGTTGTTTGAGGGGTTTTGGGAGGCAGCCATCAATCTCTTGGCTATCTTGAAAAGAAGGCGCCAATGCACAGGCATCAGTTTCAATCACCGCCCGGCGACAGCTAGTATAGTTAGCTTCTGTACAATAGTCCTTTCTTCTCTCAATCCCTCTCTTCCCTATCTCAAGGTGATTCCCGCCTTCCCCCGGGTGACGTTATTAACATGTCATAGCACAAAAATAATATTAATATTCTCTAAATATATACATTTTCCCTTGCTGTTTGGCACCCTGTGTTCTTAATTAGCATCTTCAATTAACCCATGCTAATTGCTAACTATGGAAATTAAGAAAAAAAAAACAGGCAATCGGGCACCATGGAGTGCTGCTTTGTAAATGAGAGGTGACATTGTTCAAGAGAAAAAAAAAAAAACTTTCATTAAATATTTCATGTACTACTTAAAATACCACAAACTCAAGCGAATGGATCAAAAACCAACAAAATTATTATCTGTAGTTAAACCACGGCTGTACGGCATACACTGGATTGTGCTACATTCGCTTTCTTTTGTTTGTGTTGTTCTTTTTGGGAACTTTTTCTCCTTCATTAAGGCTCCCAAGCCTACATCAGACTCTTGTGTTGTTTTTATGTCCTAGATAATGATGTTACCACTGTGTTAGCGTAGGTTGGTGACATAGGTACCACAGGATGTGAATTGGAATACAATTCAGATGTGATTCGAGGACAGTGATAATGTATTGTTTTGCTGTTGGGATCAACCTTTTTTTTTGGTCTATGCAGACTCAATAAACACAAGACGATAAATAACTGTATTGTATTTAGCGTAATATAAATGGATCATTGTGGTCATATAAATCCTAAGCCGTGTACTGTACATACAAAAAAATGGGAAAACCAACTATAGCACAGCAAATGAATTGAACAGTAAATTCTCTGCTATGTCTCCACAGACCCGTTCATTCTCACAGCAATATCGACCTATTAACACAGTCAGCACTGTAGCATAACACCTGGGGAACTCCTCAGCCCCCAGATGGAATAAAATCAATTGGAGTTGAATGGCGCTGGCTGTGCAGAGTGCAGCGGGCAGAGTCCGGGGTGAAGGAAGAAGGAAGGGCTAACACAGGTCACGAACAGCAGCTGATTTTACAGAAAATGTGACTTTTTATTTCCTCCAGCAAATTTTGACTTAAATTTAATACCGTTTACTCACGCTGTACTGTTCGTGACCCGGGCTTCAGGGCTCATCTGACAGCATTGTTAGTGTGTATGCACGTGTCCATCAACCTCAGTAGAACCTGTACTTGTAAGGGATTTTATCTCCGCCTCCTTACACAGGCAACATAAATCCCTGACGTGCAGCTCCTGTAAAATATACTTCTGAACGCCGGTGGTTACACAACAGATTTGAACACAGATTTACAAATTACAAAATGATAACAGCTCCACATCTGTAAAGGGTTTCACCGCTCTTAATAACTGAAGGGTAGTGGAAGTCGTAAACATTTGGCATCGCTCGCAAGATTGATCACAAAGCTTTATAAAATTCCAGAAAATGTAGGCTGCCGACACCTACAGTACGAATAGACATGTGTCGATTAAGGTCTTTTTTTTTGCATCCTTTCCATCGTAATAAAAATATCTCATGATCTGCCACCATTGCAGAAGTTTGAGACAAAGTTCAGATCAGGTGGACACATGGTTCTTAAACAGACCAGCAAACATCTTTTGCTGGTCAGTGAATTCAAATTCATGAGGTGAGTTACTTTATTAACTTTTTTTATAAGTAACTTTATTTATATAGCAAATTCTTACCCTGAGAAAAGTCAGGTCCCTGCTACGGTCGATGCTCGTGATCTCAAGGTTGCCCATAACGACTTCACAGTTCTCGTAGTATTTCCTCAGGGTGCGGTACTGCTGTTCCAGGTCCGACAGCGTGCTCAGCCTGTTCTCTGTACCAGCGCATACTAGGGGGAAAAAAAACCACAGTGAGACAGACAGTTTTAACAAGGTGAGAGTGAAACAGTTAGACTTTAATAAGGCTCTTCATCTTCGTCTTACTGCGGGAGAAAAAAAAGATGACCATTCATGAGGATTTAAGGATTGAGGGATTAAACACAAAAGTGATACAAAAACTTAGAGTTGTACTTCAGACAAGGTTCAGACATCAGACGACCACCGAGGTCACATAAGGCAAGAGCTCCACCTGACTCGTCTGGATTCAAACACCTTGAAAATAAAATCAGCCCTCTGGGCGTTTTTAGCGACCTGTCGGGCTGCTACCGTCAGAAATGTTTAAAACGCCTACATCAGCAACAATCACATGACTCGACCCTGATGATGAGCAGGTCCAAGAGGCCATACAGCTGTAGCTACATGATGTAGTATACAACATGGCAGTTCTTAAGGCACCAGAGGCTGTAAAGCAGGAGTCACTAACTATATCTGTCGGAGGGGAGAAAATATTTCTAAACAGGCATCTTAGGGAGGCGGACACACCCCTGCCCAGAGCCACATTGTTGTTTAACATTATTATTCGATGACTTATTCTGAAATCCAGTCATGGCCCAGACTGCACAATTCAGCGGGCCGGATTTGGTCCATGGGCCACCAGTTGATTATCATTGCCGTACAGAGACATGGACTGTGTTCAAACACCTCAGTGTCTTGGTAGATACTGTATGTGGTGCGTCAAAGTACTCCAATGTGACCTGGACTTCACTTGTACGACTATCGGTGATTAGCTAGACTCCACATAGCATAACGTCCTGCTCAGGAATGATAAATGACAGACTTGGGTGTTTTCAATAACAGTTAGCGTGGGCTTGAGGGAAGCAGGATGGAGAGTAGAGGGGCTCATAAAGTGAGGATAGGTGTAATAAACTGTTATTGCACCCTTGAGGCAGGGTGCTGAGATCAGAGCGCCAGGGCCACTGTGGCAAGGATGTCGAGTGAAACTTACTTTTTTTCTCTCTCTTTTCTTTTTGAACCCATTCAGTTCATGGATTCACAGTAATGGTGGAGAGCGGACGCTGGCATGCCTGTTGCCGCTGCTCTCCGGCCGTTTGAGCTCATTCCCCTCCTTCTTAGTGTTTTCTCGGCTTTCAC